TGTTTCTTTGACAGCACAAACATGTCGAGTGGCTCCAGAGTCAGTCCACCACTCCTTTGGATTTCCAACTTGGTTGCATTCCGAAAGGATTGCACACAGATCATCAATGTCATCATTCCTATCCACTATGTTGGCATGTCCTTTCTTCTTATCCTTTTTCGGGAGACGACAATCAGGGGCTTTGTGACCAACTTTTTTACAATTGTAGTAGTTGCCCTTGAATTTCTTTTCGTTCTGCTTCTTAGTCTGTCCAGAAGACCTCTTCCCTCTTCTTACTTTTTGGAGCAGTCTCCTCAACGATATTAGCTCCCATGATCGTTGAATTTCCACGAGACTTCTTCTCGGCTGTTTTGTTGTCTTCCTCAATCTTGAGACGAATCACAAGATCTTTCAACTTTATTTCTTTACGCTTGTGCTTAAGATATTTCTTGAAATCTCTTCACGAAGGAGGTAATTTTCAATCATTGCAGCCACTTGAAATGCTTCATTCACAACCACACCTTCAGCAATAAGGTCGTGAAAAATAAGTTGAAGCTCCTAAAATTAGGTTCCAACAGTTTTGCTATCTATCATTTTATAGTCTAGAAACTTGACAACCACGAACTTCTTCAAACATACATCTTCAGTCTTGTACTTCTTCTCAAGTGCGTTCCATAATTCTTTCGAAGGATTCATCGCGTTGTACACATTGTACAAGTCATCCTCTAAAGCTCTTAAGATATAGCCTTTGCAAAGAAAATCTGCCTGTTTCCACATCTCAACAATCATGAATTTTTCGTTATCCGGCACGTCCGCAGCAGGCACTAGAGGTTCTTCACTAGTGAATTTCTGCATACCAAGTGTGGTAATCCAGAAGAACACCCTTTGCTGCCATCCTTTGAAGTTGGCTCTAGAAAATTTCCCCGGTTTCTTGGTCGGTGGAACAGCAGTCCGGCTTGATGAGGCTATCGTCGTTGCCGCAACTGTCGAAGAAGGATTTCGTTATCAATTACCATTTCTCACTATCAACAACAAAAGAGTTCAACTAATGGCAAAACCAGCACAGTAAACAATATTGTATTAACAATAAACAGTACGTATGATAAATAAAAACCGAAGTTTATATATTCTGTTTCACAAAAATGATGAAGTTTTTATGTTCTACAAATCGTTTTCTTAATTTCAATACTCTGATGAAGTTATTATATCTTCAAATTAGAATAGTAAAATTCAGAAGGAGTAGAAAACCACACACGTTTTAATCTATACAAACAGAATACCGAATATAATATAAAAATAATTTCCTTAAGATTGTTATTAAACTATATTACTGTAATAAATATTAAAACCAGTAAACTTTCTGAAATATAAACAGAAACAGAAGGTTAGTAGAAATAGTATGTCAAAATAATATCTGAAATAATTTTGGAATAAATCGAGCCCACTGAATACACAGTGTGCCCTTAAGAAAATTGTCCCCTCAAGTACCCGAGGTGCTGGAATATATCCTCCCAGGATAGAACCATTTAACTCACCAGTATATTGGTACCTCCGGTGAACTTCGAACCACTCAATGGTCGTAAATTATACTGGAAAATATTGCGGAGAAGAAGAAGAAGATAATCAAAAAATTTAGTAAGTAAAGATTCTGGGATTCAAGGCATATTTATAGACCATTTGGCACCGTTTCTGAAAAGGTTTGCAACCTTTCAGTAATAGCCTTAGCTGTTGGAACAGGTGAGAAGAAATATTGCGGAAAAACAGAAAACGAATTTTTAAAATAATCCGGGAAAGAAAATGGACCAGACCGGGTCGCGGGTCATGGGTTATTCCGGATTGAATTTTTGTTAATTAATTAAATAATTGGAAGGAATTTTGTCCAAAAAGATTAACCAATCAATTGATCTTTAACCAAATCTAAATCCAAATCCAAATGGGAAGAAATATTGCGGGAAAAATAGAAAATGGATTTTTAAAATAATCCGGGAAAGAAAATGGACCGGACCAGACCGGGTCGTGGGTCATGGGTTATTCCGGATTGAATTTTTGCTAATTAATTAAATTAATTAATTAAATAATTAAAAAGAATTTTGTCCAAAAAGATTAATCTGAAGCCGAAGCCGAGCGAGCGACGACGGCACCAGGCTTGCCTTCTTCTTAACTCTTTAAGAGCTAGAAGAAGATAAATTGTATATATACCCATCAAAAGTCTTTTTGTAACGACCCGGCCGGTCGTTTCATGAGTTACAGCCCCGTTTTCCCCATTTCTGCTTCTTTATGTGTTGTTAAGATGTATTTCATCATATCGTGTTGCTTGTTCTGTGTTCGGAGTGGTCTTGGAGTGAAATTAGACACTTAGTCTCTAATTTAGTAGCTTAAGTTGGAAAAGTCAACCGGATGTTGACTTATGTGTAGAAGTTCTCAAATGTGAATTCTGATGGTTCGGATAGCTTCGTTAGGTGATTTTGGACTTAGGAGCGTGTTCAGAATGTAATTTGGAGGTCCGTGGTAGATTTAGGCTTGAATTGGCAAAATTGGAAATTTAGCGTTTTTCGGTTGGCATTGGAAATCTTGATATCCGGGTCGGAATGGAGATTCGAAAATTGGAGTAGGTCTGTTGTGCCATTTTGTGACGTGTATGAAAAATTTCAGGTCATTCGGATGAGGTTTGATAGGTTTTTGCATCATTTGCGGGATTCTAAAGTTTGGAAATCCTTAGGCTTGAATCCGAGGGTGATTTGGTGTTTTGATGTTGTTTTGAGTGTTCCGAAGGTTGGAGTAAGTTTGAATGGTGATATGTGACTTGTTCGTATGTTTGGTTGAGGTCCCGAGGGCCTCGGGTTGAATTTGGGTGGTTGATGGAAAGTTTGGCATTTAGTTAATGCAACAGATTTTTGCTGCTTCTGTCATATCCGCACCTGCGGATAGGGTACCGCAAGTGCGAGGTCGCAGGTGCGAGAGGGAGGCCACAGATGCGGAGAATTGAGAGCTGAGGCAAATCCGCAGGTGCGCACAAAGGACTGCACCTGCGAGATCGCAGGAGCGGGAAGTGACCGCAGAAGTGGGTTCTGGGATTTTAAGTGAGGACCGCACCTGCGATGGATTTTTCGCAGGTGCGGCGTTGCAGATGCTACTAGGAGACGTCAGATGCGGAAGTGCTGGGCAGAAAGTATATAAGTTTCCCTTCGCGAATTTCTGCCATTTCTTCACCATTTTTGAACGAGTTGGAGCTTGGGAGCTGTGACTTCAAGAGGGAAACAAGTGTTTTCTTTGAGGTAAGCTACTTGGGCCTTGTATCTTGTGTTTATAGCGATTATTCCATTATTTAATCATGATATTAGTGGGAAAATTAGGGAAGAAATTGGGAGATTAGGGCTTGAAATTGGAGAGTTTAGATTTTGGATTTGAGGGGCCATTTGAGGTCCGATTTTGATGATTTTGGTATGTATAGACTCGTGAGAGGATAAGGATTCTAGTGTTGTGATTTTTATCGAATTCCGAGATGTGGGCCCGGGGGTCGGGTTTGGCCAATTTCGGGAATTTTTACTTAATTTGATAATTTTCGCGTGCGCTTTGTTCCTTTAGCATGTATTGATGATATGATTCTGATTTTGGATAGATTCGGGGTGATTTGAGGCTGAGTCGAGCGGCAAGGGCATCGCGGAGTAGATTTCCGTCCGGTTTAGGTAAGTAACGACTGTAAACTCCAAAAAGTGTTTTTCAAAATTTTCACTCAGATCACTCACAAAAATTCAAAAATAACCTAAAGTTATATTCATCTCCAAACACAGCTCTGATTTTCAAGTACCATTTTCACTTGAAAAAAAATCAATTTTTTTTTAAAATTTTTTACAATTCTTATGTCCAAACGTCCAATTCCAAATTGTTATTTATGCCCGAAAATTGTTAAATAGAAGCACTTGTGCATCAAATAAAAATGAAAACTCTAAAGGATAAACAAGTTTTTCAGACATGCTTTAATTTTTCTCAATTGAACCTTAGTGGTTTTTAATTAATTGTTTGATCATGTGATAAAAAGATGAATAGGCCTAGAGTTGCAATCAAGCATTCAAGCTCCTCTTAGTTTCAAAGTTAGTTGACAAAATCAATAAAACATTTAAGTTTGAGTAATTACTAGCTGACTCTTGAATTGATATTTAATATAAAAGTGACAGCCACATTTGTTAAGATAAATGCAAATTGGTTAGTAATTCAACTTAATTAAGAGGTGCTTCCTACTTCTTGCCTTTGAAAGGTGTTTTTTCTTTTTTCTTTTTCTGTTTTTGAGTTTTAAGCTGCCTATAATACACCTACATTTGACTTTTCATTACCATCATTAAAGCCTTGACACCTCGTGATATAGTACCGATCTGATACTTATCAAATTGAATTTCACTTCTGTTTTTTAAAGTATCTATTTGCTGGATATAGTTATATTCCATCCCAAGTCAAAAGAATATCTGTTCAAGTTCAAGATTGTTCATATATTCATCACTGAGTTTAACTTCTATACATTAATAATGTAGAAGATTTTTTACTCTATCAAATTACCAAAAAGATAATATGTTATTTTTTACTATTATTTCTTGCCGTTTTTCTTTTCATTACTGTTGTGCTTATGTTTTCCCGAGCCGATAATCTATTAGAACAACTTCTTTATCTTCACAAGCATATAAGGTCTGCGTACACACTACGCTCCTTAGACCCCATTATATAGAATTTCATTAGGTATATTGTTGTTATATTACTGAAAAGATAATTGTAGGTAGTCGTCCATAAAAATTGAGTTCAATAAACTAAAAAGCAAAACAGATTACTTGTTACGACAGGTAAAAATACAATGAAATAATCAAAAATCTTTATAGTGTCGGTGCATACATATTAAATCATATTGAAAACTTTACATCCACACCCTACTTCTACCCCCATATCCCACCCCATAAAATAATATTTCTTGAGATTAAGACATACAAGAAGAACAACCTATAAAAGATTCCAAGAAAACAGACAAACCAGAAAAATACTCTTTGAGAGGACCCATATTAAAAAGATTACAAACTAACTCATGTCATACTCCCCTCCATAACTTTAATGCCTTATACATACAAAATAAAAGGGACATTTTCTTGAACCATATATGTCCTTTGTATAAGTCTTGAAATTCTTGTTAATTTTCCAACTTATCATGTATCATTCAACACTTCAGAAAATGCCATCTTCACAAAATGCAGCTAACAATTTCCAACCAAGTATTGCTGTTGTTATTGGTGTTCTCTCCATCATGTTTTGCTTAACATTTCTCCTCCTCCTCTACTCCAAATTCTGTCGTAGATCGCCTCCTCCTGTCCACGCTACGCGAATTCAAGATGGTCTAATTCTACCAGTAACAAGAAGTTCCTCAGGTATCGATAAAACTATAATCGAATCACTTCCTTTCTTTCGATTCTCATTGCTCAAAGGTTCGAAAGATGGTCTTGAATGTGTTGTTTGTTTATCAAGATTCGAAAATGTAGAAATTCTTCGATTGTTACCAAAATGCAAACATGCTTTTCACATTAACTGTATTGATCAATGGCTTGAAAAACATTCAAGTTGTCCACTTTGTAGACATAAAGTAAGTGCTGAAGACCATACATTGTTGACATATTCAAATAGTTTTAGATTTTTAAGGAATCAATCTGAGCTAAGAGAAGATTCCAACTTGGAACTTTATGTACAAAGAGAGGAAAATGGTAAGAATAGATCATCAAGATTCAGTATTGGGAGTGTTAGTTTCAAGAAATCTGAAAAGGGTGTTAAAGAAGAAGAATTGCCAATTCAAGAAAACAATATATTTGATACAGAGGAACAAGACAGTGTGTTACTACATAAGTTCAATCATAGGATTATTGTGTCTGATGTTGTCCTAAAACATCGATGGAGCGACGTTAGTTCTTCGGATTTGATGTTTTTGAATACTGAAATGATAAATGATATGACAAGCAATAGATTTTCATCTTCAGAATCAAGAACCAATTTAGAAAGTACATCAAAAGTGTTAAGACAAAATGAGAAAAGAGCCATGTCAGAAATTTTGATATGTCCAAGATTTGAAGAGTTCAATACTAGGAATTGTAATAGAGAGAATTGTGGTATATCAAATAATGTGAAGGAAGAAAGAAGGAACAGGATTTGGCTTCCAATTGCAAGAAGAACAGTTCAATGGTTTGCTAATAGGGAAAGAATAAGGTATGTAGCTTGGGGATCGGATACCGGCAAAATTCCCGCCAATGGCTGAGATGTTCGGTCGACTCCCTTTCCCTTTGTGGGGGTCCTGACCCCTATGAGTGAGCAGAAAAGGGAAGAGGAACGAGGCCCTGGTGAACCATCATAATTATTGAACAAGTGTAAGTTTCGGCGTCCCAGAGTATGAAGTACTGACCACACCGAGGGATAAGCCCTAAAGCAAAGCACGAGAACAAGCAGAATTAATGTGTTCCAATTTCTGGCCTTGCACTGACCATGAAAACACAAGACAATCATTGGATGTATAGTCTTTTTCATTGGTATTCTCTTAATTGGTTAAGATTTTACTTTCAATGGTTAAATGGAAAATTCGAGTTTAATTTAGATAAGTGAGAATGCAATTGATCCTCTCGGGTTGGATGAGTTAAAAATTCCTCCATATGTATGATAATTTGAGTAAAAAAGAAGTAAACACTTGGAATATTTTCTTGTACCTCTTTTTTTCATTTTCTGTGACATTTGCTTTATAGGGTTATTTCTTAGTTAGATTTCTTTGTATAACCAATATAATCAAGTTTATTAAGATCTCTTAAATTCGATCAAACTTGACAAAAATAGCATTAATATTTTGTTACATTAAATTTCTAAGTTTTATATTAATATGTCTTAATTACATGTCCACTATATTGATTGAACAAGAGCCAGGCAGAACCATATGAGCTACTCAGAAGATGGTCCCTTAAAAATGAGAAAATGACACGGAATAGTCGCTCTAAAAATAATAGCCGATCTCAGCCATTGAATAATAATAGTTTCGGCCGCATGCCAAAAGTGATCTTTTCCCTTAAAAAAAAAATTTATGTTTCCAAAAGAAATTCATTATTTGCTGTTTTCCAAATTATTTTTTTAGTAACATTATAAAAAAAATTTCAATCATTTGAGCTTTTGGTTTAACAACTACTGAAAACACGCAATTAAAAATCTGTAACACCTTGTCCATTTCTATGACACACACGTATCTCTTTTTTTTTTTTTTTTTTTTTTT